CAATATGCATGATAGGTTTCGTCGTTCCTCTTGTTCTTTATCAGTGTTTCACTTGTTATCCATATTACAATCTCTATCTCTGTAAAATGCTTGTATCTATTTGTCTTTGTCATTGCTAAAATATACTCTTCAGAATATAAAATATCATTTCACATAGCCGCCATTTTTTCATTATTTTTTTCTTCGTAAGGTACTTAAGAGTCCACGATCAATTCAAGTGTGTACAAGTCCAAACTCAAGTGATTCGTGTATGGCAAGGAACTGAAAATAAATGTTCCATCACACATAAAAATGGATAAAGTAGCTATCGTAGAGCATCCAGTGTACCCGGTTTTGATATTTTGGTTGTATAAATGTAAATGGCAGGATTTAAGATGATCGATATTTTGGCTAATGTAGCACATAGAACGATTAGTATTTCATGTCTTTCAATAAAGTTTGTTTTTCGACATACTTTTAATATAGCTATTATTGAGTAAGGTGTCCAACAGATTATATACTGTGCCACCATGATAAATGTGGTAAATGCAAAACGGCGATCGAGTTTTAGACGTTTTAAACGATTTGCTTCTCTTGTTGCAATAACGTCACGATATTTTTGTTGAATTCGTCGTGTACTTTCACTTGTAGTCGTTGAAGACCTGAGAGGCGGTGAGGAGATTGCATTACGATCAATTTTCGTACAAAGATGTCTAATAAAAATACAAAAACAAATGTTCAATCGCGGTTCAACAGATTGTTCACATTCGCTCATTATTCCAGAGGATAGAGGAATGTAATCGCTTAGTTCGTCGTTTCGTTTATACATGAGAAAACGTAGTGTTTGATAAATACGAATGTTCGAATAGATTAAGAATATAAATGGAATGAGGTAGATGAATATAATAGCAGATATTAGATAGGCTTGACTTTGTTGTAACCAGTTCAAACTACAGTCAAAACCCATACCTTCAGGTATATAAGCGTTCAACATATTAAACAACGGGGGTGTTGTCCAAAAAAGTGATACAATCCAACAACAAACAATGACAAATGTATAATGTTGTTCGATAAATCGATTTATTCGACATGTCTTATGTAAAACAGATGTGTATCGCAAAATGCATAACAATGACAGTAAATACATGTTGTTTACACCGTTGACATAACAAATGAATCCTCGCATTTTACAGAGATAGAGATTGTAATATGGATAACAAGTGAAACACTGATAAAGAACAAGAGGAACGACGAAACCTATCATGCATATTGAACCAAAACACATGCTCATAAATAACGCACAATGTCGCGATCGAAATAACTGATAGGAACGAGTTGAAAGAAAAAATCGAATATTAAATATGGCACTAAATAATGAGATGAAGAAGAGAATAGAACCAACCAAGCGATAAATAATACAATCAACATTGGTGACGACAGTAACAAATCCCATTGTCGAAGAATTCATTTTTCTAATGCAATGCGATACTCTATGAATGCAGTATTTACTGTTCTGAACTATATATAATGTTTCCACTTTATTTCTTACTGTTGAACGATAAGATAATTAACAAAAACATCTACTTTTTTTTCTTCTGTTCTTTCTTCATCTTCAGTTCTTTTCTTGTTCAGCATTATCTGACGGTTGTTTTTTTGTATCTAAAGATTTATTATAAGATTCATGTATACATCCACTCATCATAAACTTGATTCATGTCAAGACGAAAAGATAATTCTGGAACGACAGGAGGTTCTTCGTTTTTCTTCTCTTATTGAGAGAATAATAGACTTATGTTAACTAACAATATACTTGTTGAGAAAAAGCACGCATCAGGAAAATAGCTGCATTAAAATGATCTGAATTGTACTCAGTAATTAAAAACGAAACAATCACATATTCTAGGCACGTGTCAAATACAAGCGCGACCTTTAGAATTGCATTAAATTTGATTCGTTTTTAGAAGAAACATTGAATATGAACATGGTAAAACATGGTAAATGGCTCATTCACAATCAAATATGATACAATAAAGAGAGAACTTTGGAAGTAAAAGGGATCAATAATGAATGAAGCAAGTGGATCAACCCACTGCGGCACTTTTTAAAGAAACATTCTATTTTTTTGATTTATTTTTGTTTCCATAGAAAAATCAATTTTTTTTATGTTAAAAATGTTAAACGTTAAAAATTGATTTATTTTTTTTTTAATGCAGAAATTCATTTAAATCGATTTTTTTTTGTTGAAAAAAACTTATTTGAAACAATTTTTTAAGAATTCTTTTAGAAAGTCTATTTAAATTCATTTTTAAAAAAATTCAGTTAAATTCATTCTACATAACGTTTCGTGCCAAAAATCTATTTAAATTCATTTCTTTTTCAATGAATCTGATTTTGGTTTTTGTATAAGGTTAATTTGAATTTCTTGTTTTCTCTAAATAAAAGATAAAATGCACTTAAATACATTTTCTCAAAAATTAAAACCAGATTTATTGAGACAGAAATAAATTTAAATAGATATTTCACACAAAAACGTTACACAGAATGAATTTAAATCGATTTTTTTAAAATTAATTTAAACAGATTTTTCTAAAAGAATTTTAAAACAGTAGATTTAAATAGATTTTTTTCAAAAAAAAATTAATTTAAATTAATTTTTCCATGAAAAAAAAAATGGCACTTTTCTTCAAAAAAGTGCCTCAAGGGGAATAATCAATGAATATGACAAACAATAAAATACTTCTTCCTCTAAATCACTGTTAATAATGTTTTCGTCAGTTTTTCTACGTGACTGTCGTTCAATTGTAGACTTCTTTTCATGTTAAATATGTAGTAAAACGAGAACTAGAAAGATCAAAAGAAAGGAAACAAATGTTGATGGATACATGCAATGTGCTTATTAGTCAAAAATATCTAAGACGATCTTCATTTGTCAAGAAATGTTATTAGAGAAAAATGTAGAATATGATTTTGTAAAAAGTAATTTCTTTAACGATAAGTTTCACTCTTATAAAAAAAGTATAATTTCTATCATCGTTTATCTAAATAAAATTGCATATGATAGGCATCGTGAAAACTTCCTTTACCATCAGATTAAAATCACACATAAAAATAAAGTCATTCGTTAACCATGGAGAAATTTTAGTAGTATTTATGGTGTGTACATTAGTGAATATTCTGGCTAGGATTTATGTGTTTTGTGTTAAAATTTATGATACAAACGCCGTGGAATTATGATAACAATTTCTTCACGAATAATGAATTAAAATAATTCAAGATGGTCGGTCCATAACTTCAAACACTGTTTTAGATTTTATTATAGCATATATATTTACTTTAGTAATGAGAAGGTATGACGATTCAAAGTGGTAATATGATATCTGAAAAAAGTTTTCCCTACTTCTTTGGTTAATACAAATAAAATACGCAACGACAATTTCTGATAAAAACATTTAGAATATAGAGAAAATGAATACATTTTTCAAACGCATATTCCAATATTGAATTTATTATTAAAGAACATTCTCAACTACACTTTCTGCAAGTTTGCAAGTGAGGAAGAGAAAAATGAAAATGATCACAGAAATAACAAGCTTTTGATCCTAGTTGAAAATTTTAAAAAATATATAAAAACGATCTCGCTTGCAAAAGATATTTTTTTTATGTCAAAATCATGAAGAAAAGCATTTAACAGATCTCGGTTCGTTTATACAATCGGAAAACACGGCTTAGATTTCGGAAATTGCACATATCGTGCAAAGAGGTAGTGATCGAGTTAGTCAAAGGGTAGGCAGAGCATGAACAGTTGTTACCATCAAAGAAAAATGGGCGAGAGAGGCCAGTTTTTCATTAAATAGGTGAAGCTAAAACATTCACTTGAAAACTAGTCTAAATTAGATGGAAAGTGAAGATAGGTTTTATGTTCTGAAGTATTCCAAGATCTACAGCATGTTTTTCTTAAACTAGCTTAATTAGATTTTGCTTTAATCAATGATTTCAGCATAAAAAAATTTATTTTTCGTGACTAAGATCTTTTACCTATTTTACTAGAGATTTTGTCAACTAGGACTGAAAGTATGTTATCTCCGTGATTTTTTAAATCCAGGTCCAGTGAGGAAAACTTACCGATTTTCAAACATTCAGCAAACATGGAATGAGAGAGAGGCTATCTACAGACCTTAAACGATGCTAGGAAATGAGGTTACTTTATAATTCTTAGATGAATATTCGACTGATGTATATTTTCAACTCATTCGAGGAATTCAAGTTTTTTCGAATTTTCACGTTGAAAAATCATCGAGAATTTCACTAAAACATGAATATACACTAAAAATGTAGAAATACACGCCGGTCGACTCAGTTTTTGATCCTGATTCCGAATATGATATTTGTATTACATAGAAGTTGAGTTTTTTATGGAGAAAATTGAGAATCACGAGCAGAATTCTGAGTTTGCTACGCTAATGATGACTTTTCTCAGCGGGGCAGAGTGTACCAAATATAAATGTACGATGTAGACTCATTGATCCAGAATTATCAACCATAATACACCATTGTAATTCATGTTGTTTAATTAATTTTGATGTTAAACGTTCTTGTTCCGAACGAAATTTGTCTAAAATCGTATCAATCATTTGTGTAATTACTTTGGATTCAACTAATTTTGTATATGTCCATTTAGTGAAATCTTTTTCTGACATTGAACTTAAATCTAAACGATTTTCTAATTCATCTGTTAGTAATTGTCTGTTAAATTTATCTTTAGTAATCATGCCAGCTTCCTTATATAAATCCAGACAATTTGTATTTTTAACTTGATCTATAAATGGTTTTTGTGACAATTCCACTTTGACATTTTGTGCAGCTAAATTTTCTGCTTCGCTTTTCAAATTGCTTAACGCAGTTGAAGAATTCGCTGTTATTGAGGATGAAGATGTACCGCCTCCTGTTGTTTGTTTATTTAGCATATCTTGAAGTATTTGATCAACATTTGTGTTTATAGTACGATTATTAGATGATGATTCAAGTAGATTGGATGAATGCGTGTCTGTGCCACCAACTATGACATTATGGTTTTTGATATCCTTTAGCCATTCATCATGCGAGATTAGTTGATCGAACTCATCATTATTTGTTGGTGTTGTCGTTGGTGGTAACGATGGTGAAAATGTTACTTTTGAAGAAGTTTCCAATGGTGAATGATCGATCGGTGTGTCAGCGCTATGACTAAATGGATCTAAATGTGATAATTTATTTAATGTTAAACTCTTTGATGGTGGTTTTATATCTATATTTTGTAATCGACTGACATCAATTTGTAATTTTTGTAATACAGATCGTAATTCTAAACTATATTGTAATGCTAATGATGTTAAACATTTTTCAATTTTTGTCAGATCTTTAAATAAAAATTTGACACCATGAATAGAAAATGGTTGAGGTTCTAAAAGTCGTCTGATTACTGTTAATCTTATAAATAAATGGATACCATATTCAACAATTGAATTTGTAAATTTTTTATTTATTGATATTTGACCAAAATTTGGTCGATTATAAAATAATAAATTTGTTGTTATAAATACATCATACCAATAATCAACTCGTTTATGCAAAATAATGTATGATTCAACTAAATCTTTCACAGATGATTCTAATGATATATTGATAGTAGTAATAGGATCTTGAGGTGAGTTCAGTTTTGATACAAATTTTTCAACATTTTCTGTGAGTTGATCTAAAACATGCCCTGTAAAGGGTGATTGTATTGGTGGAACAGCTGTTTGTGCCGATGTCAATGATTGTTTTAGAATTGTTGTGTTGCCAGTAGGTGATGATTGTGCCTGTCCTGGTGTATTTACAGATACTGGTGGCTTTTGTTGTTTTTGTATATTTTTGTGAATACAACTGAGAATAGACTCTCGATCTACAGTTTTAGTAGATATCATTACATCATTCGGATTATCAAAATCTCGAATATTATTTCGACAATTTGCTAATATACATAATGCAGATGATAATGCAGTTGTATACAATTGTTCTTTGTATGATACTTCATTAGATGATATTAAGCCATAAAATGATGTTAATATTGAAGATAGTGCTTCGTACAAACGTTTTGATTTAACACATTTTATATTTGATAGTGTCAACCACGATGGAATGAGATTATTAAGTAATTTGAATTGTTGTTCATCAGTCAGAAATGTTAGATCAATTAATGCATTGTGTGATTGAATTAAATGATTGTAAGCTTCTATTTGATTTTGTAATGTTGATGATACACACGCTTTAAATTCATTTAATAAATCATTGGTCGATATATTGGGTGTTAATGCTGATAAAATAGTTTGTATACGTATTTGTTTGTTATCTAATTCAGTACATTCGTTATTTGTTAATAAAAAGGGACACAGCTTTAGAAGACAATCCCAAACTTTTAATATTGTTGTTTCTTGTTGTAAAGATTGTACAATATCAATAAATTTTTGTATATGTTCTTTTTTTAATTCTACGATTGAATCAGTAAAACTATCAATTATATCAATAAAATCTATTAATTCTTGCCATGTCAGTTGTATTGTTAATGCTGTATATTTTGCTAGAATTTTATGCCATGATTCATTTTTCAAATAGTCAAATTGAAATAGACAAGCTTGTTTAAATACTAATCCAGTTGATATATGATCTTCACTCATTAAGCAAAGAAGCCTCCAAAAATTTTTTAAACATTGTTTTATTGATATCCATTGTTCGTTTTTCACTGATATCAATTTATGTATAATGTCCACATAGTTTTCCATATTATATTTTGTTAAATCGTAACTTGTATAATTATGTGTTCCTACTGTAGGGTATAAACCTTCAATTTTCCAAGCTAATGATTCAATTTGTTGCTGGGATATTCTTTTTGAACCTTCCAGTGCTGAACTTATACTATGACGAAATCGTTTTTTAAAAATATCTTTAATCCATTGATATGATATTGCAGCTGAACTACTTTGTTGTTGTTCAAAATATTCAATGATAATAACGGTAGCATCTAATATCTGATCGAATTTTTCTTCTTTGTTAACATTATTTAAAATATCAAGTAATTTCGAATTATTATTAAATAATGAACTGATAATAGAACGTTTGATTGATGAATCTAGTTTTGCCCAATTAGTAAGACGATGTTGAATTGCAGTCATAGATGGATAATATGGATTTTGTTCATTGATAACCTTCATTAGACATTTAATTAATGTTTCACAATTACCCATCATTAATTGTTTTATATCTTGTTGTATATCAGCAGGAAGAAATGAAAATAATAAATTGATTGTTAATTGTTCATTATCATTAGATATTAAATTTATTAATTCACAATTTGATTTATTGATTAATTTCGAAATAAGTTCTTCAATATGAGTGGTATCTTCTTGTTTACGTTGTATTAAATAATGTATATATTGTGAAAATAAATCCAATATTGGATTTAAAATAGAATCTTGACTAATCATTTTATCGATTAATAAAAGTGATTGTTGACAGTCATTGATATTGTTTGATTGTTCATACAAATTAGATACACAAAAAGCATAAGTTTGCATTGCATAAGCTTCATCTACATTTTCTGCAGAATTGATAACAGAAAATAATTGTGATTTTATAAGTTGAGTATCAAAATAATCTATAAATAAATTTGACCATTTAAAAAAAGCTTTTTGTGATTGATCAATCATCGATCTGTAACATCTATATACTGCAGTTTGAGCATTTTTCTTTTTTGTTTCATTTAAAAATTGTTCAGTTGATAAATCTGGTACATAGTCTCGAAAATGTTGCGCTGTTCGGAATTTTGTACAAAGATTCTTATAGTCATCTTCAGTCTTTGGAAGTGATTCTAATTTTGGTGTACAAATGTATGCCATTGCTGTTATTTGTACCAATGAAAAATAATTTATGATGTTGTTATTCGAATTCATTGAACACATTTGACGCAACCAATCAGATGGTAATAATCGTAGATCATTCCAACAACTTTTTTCCTTTCCCGTCTCTTGTTGTTGATCGTATTCCGAAAAATGTCCAACTATAATTAATTTTATTAAACGATTTGATAGTTTACCGTTGATTTCAATTACAGGATCACATTGACTAACAATAGTTATTTCACCTAATTCAACAAGTTGTTGTGAATAATCTTTACGATTCTCTACTTCGTTACATTCGATCATAAGAGTACACTGACAAGTTTGATTTGGATCAAGACGAATTGGATGATCAAGAGAAATTATTTGTGATGATTGTTGCAGTATTAATTTTTCGATAAATGATTGTTTTATGAAAACTTCAGTTGTATCAATTTTTAAACTACTACGACCAATATTTCGAAGTATAATAGATGGTTTAAAGATTTTTCCATTTTTAATTACACCGATATCAAAGAAAGCTTTTGGTGATATTTCAAGAATAGGTATTTTAAATTCAAGATGATAGGGAATGTTTGTGAATATATCACCAGATTTAAATTGTATGATGGGATGAAAATTACGAAAATCAGTTGGATAATATTGACATTTGAGAGTTTTGTCTGTTAATGGATTGAGTAACAATTTATCGGGTGTTACAATAAATTTAGATGATAAAATTTTTGTTGAATCTTTTGATGATAGAAGTTGTATATATTTTATGTTTGCTGCTGATTTGCCTACATTTTTAATTGATATATCACATTCAATTGGTTTCATACTTCTTGATTTGTTCATCCATAACTGTTCCATATCAGCTGATTGTCCAATACGTATTTCTTTTGTGATTTCCAATGGAAAACGTAAATGTGGTAATTGTGATTCACGAAGGAGTGTGAGTGTCAAACGAGGACGACTAATATTAGTGAAATTTATATCGATGGTAGAAGTTTTTCTAGAAGAAGCATCACTCATGCAAATATTCACTTGTACTGTTTCTTTTATTCCAGGATTTAATACAAGCGTTTTTGTACTCAAATTTAAGTCGCTTGATAAAGATAAAGTATATTCAACTTCACCATCATTGATAAATTCAAGTGATATTGAACGTTCTTCTGATTTGTATAAATCTGTAATTGATAATTGTCCGGATTGATTGTTAATAACTGTTTGTTCTTGATACATAACTGTGAGTTTAGTTTGTCGAACAAAACCAATTACTTTCAATAATTTGAAATATTTAGGTGAATTAATAGCAAGACATATTTCACGATCGATATTTTCCTCTACATTATTTGGTTTTAATGATACATGAAAATGCGTTGTTGTAGATGGATTCAAATTTAATTGTTCAGTTTGAATTGTTAATACCGATTTCATTGATATTGCTTGTGTTTCTTGTTGTATTTGTGCTACAACATTTAACGAACATGATAAGGAATTTTTGATATCGAAATGTTTTTCTAGTATTGTTCCATCACAAGGACAATAACCAAAATTTATTGTATCTGTTGATAATTGAACATCTACAACAGCAACTTTTCCATAAACATATAATTCTGTTAATGCTGTCTGATTTTTAGATAAATTGATCAGAAAATTACAAGAATTTTCATTTTCTCTACTTGGTGGTTTATATAAAATATCAATTTCAGTTATATTCTGTGCTTCTATTGATATCTTTCCAGTTGGTGCATCAAACTGGCTATTCGATTCTTTAGGTATTATTTCAATATCAATATCATTTTCACATGGATTATGAATAATCAATTTTTGTATGATGCGTCTATGAATATCGATAAGTGCAATACCAAAATCAATCGATGTTTTTAATGGTGCACATTGTATTGTTTGTGTATCTTTTGATCGATACAACCAAATATGTGCATCACGACCTAGTTGTGAATATTGAAATGTGTCATTTAATTTTCCTGGATCTAAAATAATTTTTGTTTTAAGCATATTCAGTACTTCTGTACGATTATTACTGACACGTCTTGTATTACGATAGATTGTATGTGCATTATTTCGAAGAAGATTATTGACTTTAACTAATTCAGGATTATTTCCTGAAATTTGACATATTTGATCATATTCTTGATTTAATGTTTTAAAATTTTTATCATTTGAAGAATTATTATTGCTCATTGTCAGGACATTTGCCCATGCATAAGCGACTATTAGATGAACATTTAGTAAACATAAAGCAGAAGTATATTGTGACAATTGTTTAACACTTTCTACAAGGCATTGTCGACTATTGATAAAAGCGTTTTGCATTCTACTTGACCATTCGAATTGAATATCGCTACGACTATCGATTAATTCATCCTTCATTATTCTCATTTTTTGATTCATTGCTGAAAATTCATCTGCTAAATGGTCAAAACTTCGAAAACATTGTTTTATTGTATCTGCATTCGGTAACCGTTTATGAAAATTAATTATATCAGCGACATTTATCAAATTATTCGCATTTACTATATCATCAGTTTTAAGACTTTTAATCATTTCACCAATTTTGCTATTTAAACTAACAAGAATTTTTGTACTACGTAAATGATTGATTTGTTTTTCTTCGTCATTACTTTTATGATGAGCAGACAAAGCTGATTCTAATTCCTTTGTTTGTTGTTCTAATAGAGTCGATGTTATTGTACTGGAATTGGGCAAGTTATCGGATATACCATTAACTGTATAAAAGTTTTTATTTGAACGTTGAAATCGAATTGTGAAATATGGTTGTAATTCCACGGTTGTTTTATTCAAACAATTTGACCATTTTATTAGCTTTGTTGACAATTCTTCTCCAATTTGAATTATGATATATTCAATTGAATTTGTCTTTACAGCAAAATCCCCACTATTAGATAGAGTATTGTTCATTTTTAATTGAACTTTAAAACCATTTGATGGATTTTTATCTTGTTTTATAAAATAAATAATTATATGTGACAGACGAGTGTGTGTTGTAACTTGTAACTCAAAACATTCAGAAGATGATGAGTATTTGCTAAGATTTAATGGTTCAAGTCCTAGCATATTTTCATGTTTACGATGTAATGTTATCAAATTATTCAAATAGTATTGAATTAGAATAGTGTGAATAAATGGATCACCTTGTTGATATTGTTGCATATAACGATGAATATTTTCATTGAGTAAATCATTAAATGTCATATTGAAGATTTTTATGTGATCACTCAATTCTAACGGTGATTGTTCGTTATCTGAGGAGCTGAAAAGGGATTTAAATTTATTCCGTGATTTTTTAAAAACTGAACAACTAATAACAGTTTTTGTACGACGAATTCTAATAAATTGGTTGCATGCATTACTCCAATCGACTTCGAAGCGTTTTATCTTTTCTTCTGCCAAATATAATTGACTATTGATATTTCGTAACTCATTTATTGAATTTTGTATATCTTGATTCGTAATAATCAATAAGTTATTATATATATTATGTTCCAATTGACGAATATGGTCAAGGAGATTAAACGCAATTGTTGTGGCACTGCTCGTTGCACTGTTCAATTTTATGTATGACATGCATGGTTCAAATAAAACTTTTTCACCTTTTTCATAAACTTCTACTATAGACTGATATAATTTTGATATAAGTACAAAATCCATGTGTTCCATTGATATATCTGTCAACGTTACTTCCATATTATCTAAACCACCGATTGTAAGAAAATAAATAATTTCATGAAAATTTAATTCATGTTTAATCTTATTTTTTTCCGGTTTATTATTTAAAATAATATTTTTAGCTTCAATTATTTGTTGTATATCGGCTAAAACCAAATCTTGTGAATCTAATGATATATAACTTTTAGATTTTTTATAATTAAATTCAATTTTATTATGTAAATGATATTTTCTTGATTTAATAATCCCACGAAGAAATTCTTTCAATGTCAACTGCCATCTGTTTGAAAGATTTTCACAGAATTTTTTTAATCCTGGACGATTATCAATTAATATAGTACATAATCTATCAACTTTTTCTGATACTGATTCTATTAATGATTTAGGTCTATTTTGAAAATCAATATGCATACTTAATGTTGTTGATGATTGTTGCATGCACTGATCTAAAAAATTTGTTTCATCAATTATTTCAAATTCAATTATACGTTGAAAATCTTGACATAATGAAAATAATATTTCATATTCAGTGGAAGAAATTGATTTGGATAGACTATCAATAAGTGTATCAATTGTATGCCACATTTGTGTCATCATATATCCAGGTGATAATACTAAATTTTTTAATATTTTTATCGATTGACTAACATCATCTATGAGACCAAATGGATTTGTACTATATGAAAAAGCCATATGTATTGTTTGTAGTAATAGAGATTTTGTACTTGTTTGTAATTGTAATTCAAATCGTACAAGTAATTTGAGTAATCCTATTTCTGTTCCTGGTAAACGATAATCAATATTGTTTTTAATGATTTTAATTAATTCATCCATTGGTTCCAATGTTCCTCGTTGTATTTGTAAATAACGACATCCAGTCATAAGTAAAGCGAGTATAAAACGTTTATATTCATATAATGATCGTATTGATTTTTGTTGTTGACCAGTTAAAAATGTTTCTATATTTGTAATATCACGCATCACATGTTGATGTATATCAGAAGCTAATCGTTTTATATCATCAATACTATTTGTATTTGATTGAATACTTCTAATAAATGTATGACACTGTTCATATGCCCAATTACCTAAATTACAAAGTTTTTCTTTGTTATTATTTCCTGTATATTGTTTCATTAGATCAGTTATTAACATTTTTGAATATGTTTGCCAACTTTTAAGAGAATTTGTCAAGGAAGTAATTGATATTTGTATTAAATCACAATAATATGATAAATAGCCTTTCATTGGATCATTTTCGGCTAGTTGTGTACTATGATTCAATATTTCGTCAAGAGTTTCTTTTATTTTTTGTATAGTATCATCAAGCTGTTGTATATCTTCATTTCTTAGTAAGGAAGTACTGGAATTGAATGTTCGTAGTAATAGTTTTTTACCAATATCAAATGAAATATTTAATAGTTTTGTTGAATATTGGCTTTGTGATGTGTATGTATTTGTTTCAACACTATCCTCTATTGAACTATTTGTGGTCATTTGTGATGTCAATTGTATACATGTTTCTATATATTTTTTAATTTGTTGAAAATATGTTAGTAAATGATGCATCCATTTATCTTGTTCAGCTTGTTGTTGTTTCGAAGCATTGTCCATTGCTGTTGCTAATTCATTTTTATTTTTCACTATTATCTGTTGTTGTTTGTTCAATTCTTCAGCGAGTCGTTCTTGCTCACTAGCACATTTTTGTAATTCTGATTTAGCTAATTTTTTATGTTCTATAGTTGCAGTACTGAAATAGAAACTAGCATCTCTGACTTTCATTTTTGCTTTTTCTGATTGTTCGTCTAAATCTGAATATTTGATATCTAATTCACTTTGTTTATTTTGTAATTCAATCACTTCTTGTTCAGCACTTTTTTGTCCACTTAGTTTCAATAAATTCTTTTGAAAATCTTGTAAACATGCTGCTGACCAATCTGTTAATATTAATAATGATAATGATAAAGTAATATGAAATGGAAATAAATCATATACACCTGTTGAAATTTTTATTAACATACTTGATCGTATTGTTGGATCAGCACATAGATCTAGAATTTTTTGTACAAAAGCAATGGCTGCTAGGCCTATGAATTTGATGTGTTTTTGTTTATCAAATAATGGAATTTTACTGTCTTCATAAACAAATTGATGTAAACCAATATGAATGGTAGATGAAAATTCAATAGTATTAGTCAATTGTATTGGATCAATAGATATACTTGTTGTCAATGATAAATCAAATTCATTATATTTTCTACAGATATCTTCGATAATATTTGTATATTGTGGTATTAATAAACATAGAAGATCTTCTGGACGAAGAATAATTGGTAATAATATACAAATGGAATTTTTTGTAAAATTTTTAAGTTGATTTTGTGTTATAGTTAGATTTTTACTAAGCATTTGTATACATTCATAGATATTTAACATATTAATTCTAATTGTTTTTTTCCATTCTATTATTTTATCTGTCATCTGAGCAATACCATTATAATTTGAAATAAGAGAAAAATCTGTTTTTAACTGTTCATAACGAAATTTTGAATAAGCAGTTAAAATATTACCTTTAACTAAATTATCTATAATTATCGTTGTATCAGTTGTTTGATTCGCATTCAACGTTTTAGGTGTTGCTAATATACGTTCGACTTGAAATGCTAAATCATCATTTAAAACAGATAAAATTATTTTTAACTCATCAATTTTGTCCGATTTTTGTAATAAACTAATAGCATTCGTCCATGTACGACTGGAAATTTGTGAATCTGTTATATTGATCAACTGAGTGAGGGTAATTCTGTCTTGAATAGTTTTAATACCATTACTAATATTATCTTGAATATCTTTAAAATCTTTTTCATGATTCTCTGTATTTAAACTATTGCTATTCAATTTAATATCTTTGACATTAATAGTTTCAATTGGATGATCTGATGGTAAATCAATATGACCTAATTCAATATGACTTAATTCCATTTTAAATTTATTTAATAAATCTTGTAATTGTGCTGGTTCTTGTAATAATGAATTTAAATCATATTCATTTGTATTTCTGTCCGGAACGAATTGCTCCATTTTTAGTAATGTTGTACGTATTCGTTGTATAATATGATGTGGACGAATAGGCAATTGACCGGCGTTATTCATTATTTCTTTAACATCACGAATAGCTGCAGCAATTTTTTGTTTTTGCTGTTGTTTTCGATATTCTTCAGGATCTTCTATAAGAAAGTTATTTTCATTAGAATCTTGATCATTATCATGACTATTCGCTTTCGATTTTTTATTTTGTCTATCATGACGAAATAATGGTGTAATACTTGTTAAATAACTATTTAAAAAAAGAAATTTTGACCAAAATTCTGGTGGAAAATTTAAATTTTGTAAACATTCATTAAATTCTATTTGAATATCTTTAAAAAATTTGACTATCATATTTTACACGTACGATAACATAATCATCAATAAGATCAACATGTTTTAATATTTGTTTAAAAATCTTTTCAAATAAAGTTATTGTTTTAAGTGTTGTTGTATATAATGTTTCAAGAAAATAATTTGATCCATAAATAGCATGTTGTGTAGTTAATTTTAATATTTTTTTACTATTATCAATAAATTCAAATAATAATTGAAATTCAATTTCATTTTCATTATTAACTGCTTGACCAAGTCCATATCGAATATGATTTTCAATCTTTTTTGAACAACCATAATTATGTGCTAAATTTTTTAAATAAGCTAATGATGCTATTCGACTAC